TACAGTTTGTTTGTTTTTTGGCCTTCAGTTGCTTTTTTACAATACAACATTGCTGTTAAATTTCTTAATATAAAGGGTTGGCAATAAAACGCTTTCCTGTGGTACTCCACTTTTGAGCTGGATGGGGGGCACCCAGGTGTATTTATTATACCAAAATAATTTTGGCAGTCCTGTGGTCCAGGAATTTGCAGAGGAGGTACGTGAGATGTGTCGTGAGTTGTAATTGTGTTAATTAGTATTTGAGATCGTCATGCCAGGCCTTGTCAAAGACCTTGCTGACGTCTCGTAGAATATTGGTGACCTGGTGCTTGTTAGCAAGACCAAGAGCAATTTCCTATGGCAATAGCACTCTCAGTCTTCCTGTGTGAACAAATTCTTTATTGCCTATTGTTGTTTATCTGGTGCATGAGGAGTCTGCATGTTATTAGCCTTTCCAGCAGTTTCCCAGGAACTTCCAGAAATGAGATGGGACAGTAATTCTCCACCTCATGTGCTGACTTCCCTGACTTAGGCATGAGAGTGATGGTGGAGTGTTCAAATTTGTCGGGGAAATATCCTATAGCCATTGCTACGTTAAAGATATGGCTTAGCTTGAGGATCATCAAGGGCGGCACATGTTCTATGATTGTTTTGTTTGTGTTGCTTGCTCCTGGTCTTTTTGGTTTGATGGTGTCAACTGTTTCTTCTGGTGTAATTGGTTTGGAGAGGGACTGACCTCAGTGAGAGTATTTAGTCAAATAATGATTTCTGGGAGAACTGTGTTTCTATGTTGATGTAGGTAGTGTGTTACCTTGGTTTCTGTGGTGTGGTTAAAGCAGGTTACTTCATTCCTCCCAGAGGTCATCATTAGAATCCCACTAACATTGCCAAAATTACTTTCCGTAGACATGACCTTCCCTTTAATGTTTACATAGGTGGAGAATCCCTCCCTGTCCAACCATACCAACCTTCTCGTCAGTGCCAAAATTGTTGGCGTTTAGGACACCCAGTCAGACATTGCCATTCCACAGCCAGATGCCCACTATGTGCCCAACCTGAACATACTCGATCAAACTGCTCTGCACAATCACTCACATGTGCCAACTGTGTGTGTATTTTATAGGGGCTGCCCCACCTACAAATTTGAGTCTGAGGTAGCAACTCTCAAACTTGGATTCACTCTACGTGAAGCCAGACAGGAAGCACGTAGACGAGGCTTTTCTCTTTCTCCCTACTCCAGTAATGTTGCTCATTCTACCACTTTGAATTCTGATTGCACTCAAGCACTTCGCTTAAAACGTGCAGCCTGGAACAGTTACCACTACAAAAGAGGTACCCCAAATCAACAATCAGCCCTTATCTCCTTTAAAAGAGCATCTGCCTGTCTTCACCGTACAATCCGGAATAGTAAAACAAATAGCTGGCGAAATTGTTTCATCAATTACATCCCCTACATCTATCTTAAATGTTTGGCGCCGAATCCATAAACTATCAGGCAAACATCCCCCCCATCCAGCCCCCGTCCTCCATATTCAAGATACCCTCATATCTGATTCTCTCCAAGTCGCTAGTGAACTGGATGATTATTTCAGCAAGGTCAGTAGTGGTTCTCACCTTTCTCCACACTTCTCTTCTATTAAGACCATCAGAGAACGTAGCCCCATTATCTTCAACCTCATCCTCCGCTGAGTCCTATAATGCTCCTTTTTCTTCCACTGAACTTAATGCTGCCCTACAATCGTGACGCATCACTCATGAAGGCCCTGACAGTATTCACTACCGTATGCTTCGGCAACTCCCATCTTCCTCCTTATTCTTCCTATTAACAATTTATAACCACATATGGACATCAGGAGCTCTTATCCTCCACTTCTTGAAACCCAATAAATTGGGTACCCTCCCTCAAGACTATCGCCCCATCGCACTAACTAGCTGCTTGTGCAAACTATTTGAGCGAATGGTTAACTTAATGTGGTATCTTGAATCTCACAATCTTCTCTCTCCTTCCCAATTTGGTTTTCACTGTGCCCGAAGCACAGCTGACTCTCTTACTCATTTTGAGACATATACTACATCTGCATTTGCACGCCATGAATCCGTACTAGCTGTATTTTTTGATCTAGAAAAAGAATATGATACATGGCGGTACCACATTCTCCAACAGTTGTCCTCTAGGCATACGTGGAAACATGGGTGTCTTCATAAAGTCTTTCCTCTCCCAATGCACTTTCCAGGTCAAAATTGCCTCTGCCACATCATCTTTCTTTCCTCAAATCGAAGGTGTCCCAAAAGGCAGTGTGCTCAGTATCACTTTATTCCTTCTTGGTGTTAATGACATTGTCTCAGTTCTACCACCAGGAGCCCGGTCATCACTATATGTTGATGATTTAACCATCTATGCCTCTGGCACATCCATACCACATCTCTACCAATTTCTTCAGTCTACAATCTAATCAGTATCTTCCTGGGCCACAAACCATGGCTTCCGCTTTTCTACCTCCAAATCTTTCTCCATCCTTTTCTCTCGCACACGTGTAGGTCCCCTACCTCCACTCTTATTATATGGCACTCCACTCCAATACCGTTCCTCTGGCAGATTCCTAGCCGTCATTATTGACTCTAAACTGTCCTGGCGAGACCATATTCTTTACATTAAAGAAAAAGCTCTCCGCCGTCTTCGAATCTTACAAATTCTATCCCATATATCATGGGGCTCAGATTACAAAACTCTCTTTTATCTTCATGTTACCTTGATTCTCTTCACTCTTGATTATGGATGCCATATCTACTCCTCTGCCTCAACTTCTCTCCTTGCCCATCTTGATACAATCCATCACTGTGGTCTTCGCTTAGCCCTAGGTGCTTTCCGCTCCTCTCTAGTTAAGAGCCTGTACACTGAATCAGGCATGCCATCTCTATCTCGACGCCGTGCCCTTCTCTCTCTCTGATGTTATGCTCGATTCCACCAACTTCCCCTCAATAAACTAACTATTCCACAATCCCTACTTCCTACCTTTGCTTCATCTTCACGTTTACCTACTCCTTTCTCCACTCTCATGGATAGCCTCCTCTCCCATTCCCCTCTCCCCCATCTCTGACCTCTCCCGTTCTCTGTTCATTCTGTCCCTCCATGGCTTATACCTTACCCCCATATTTGCTCTTCTGTTTTCCCTGACCCACCAAAATCAAATATCCCTTCTGCTGTCCTTCTCACCCATTCCCTTGATCATGTCTCCACTCATTCCTCCAGTATTCACGTATATACTGATGGCTCCAAATCTACCTCCGGTGCTGGTTTTGCAGTAATCTTCTCAACTCGTACTTTCAAATACTCCCTCCTGAATCCAGTGTCCTTACTACAGAACTGTATGCACTCCTTTTTGGCCTTAAAACATTTATATTCACTCCCCCTTCCTCTCTTACAATTTTTACTGACTCCCGTAACTCATTAACTCTCATAAAGTCAATACACACCACCAACCCCCTTGTTTGTAAGATCCAGAACTGGTTGTTCTACCTGTCCACACGTCATAAAACAATAAAATTTTGCTGGGTACCCAGCCATGTTGGAATCCCCGGCAATGAACAGGCAGATACTCTAGCACGCAATGCCGCTATGTCCACATCTTACCAACCACGTTTCTCACGTATCCCAGCCAGGGATTATTACCTACAGATTAAGACCTTGTATAATCGATGGCAATCTTTTTGGTCGTCTCCGCACTAATAAATTACATTCTGTAAAACTCACTCTCCTCCTGGTCAGCTCCATTTCATCGGAACAGACATTGGGAGACTGCTCTTGCCCACTTACCATTGGCCACACACGTCTAAGACACTCCTTTCTGATGTCACAATCCGATCCACCCCTATGTTCCCTATGTAATGATACTCTTTCAGTCCCACACATTCTATTGTCGTGCCCACGTTTTGAAGCAGCCCGTACCTCTGTTTTCCCCCACCTATCCTCCCTTCACCGAACTCCCAACCTATCAGACATCCGTACAGAATCTCACACTTTCTGCTTCGACAATCTGTTTTCCTTCCTCAAACGCATATATATATATATCCTTCATTTAATCTAACCCCTTTACATTGCCTCACCCGACCTTAACCCATTAACTCGTCAATTCCTTTGCCCAGCTTTGACAACTAATCACTAACTCAATCACCCTTCACTAACATTTACTATAGTGCTACATGACCTTAGATGTCTAGCACATTTATTTTGCTTTTAACCATTAACTATTAACAAATGGCAAACCGCAGGGATTTACTTGAACCAATTATTGCAACACAAAAGAAATTTATGTATAAATTAGAAGTCATGTTCAAGTCACACGTCACGACTGACAAAATCGCGGGCAAAGAGATACGTCATAGATCTTTACGACAGCAGCAAACCCTATTAATGAAAGGTTTCATTGTTTTTGTTCTGAGTGAGTGAGTGAGTGAGCGTGTGTGTGTGCGTGTGTGAGGTTACAGTGATCGGGAATGACAATGAGAGTGAGAGTGATCGCACACAGAGCGGAAATGTATGCCAAACATAGAGATTAACGTTCATTTTAACAACAATGCGATAAATTAACGATAGAATTAATACAAAAAATATTTCAACTACCACATTGAATATGACATTTAATGAAATGCTACAGATTGGTGCCCTAATGAATGGTGACGTGAAAAAAATATTCGAAAGCTTCTCGCAAGCGAATCTTCTCGGGGAACAAATCTGCCGAGGTAGAAAATGTGTAGCTGCGCATGCAGACTTCATTGACGAAGCCTGTACCCAAAATACCGTACTGAAGCGAAAGGAGCTGGGAAAATATATAAATAACCCACTATATCTGCGGATCTATGATGGGCGCTCATGACCTGCCCAACAGGTATTTATCATGAACCACGAATCGATGGGATTGACCCAAACATGCCAGCGACGTCTTATGGGTGAGCAGGGTGTGATTAATAAGTGAATAACGAATCAAGCTTAAACCCTAGTCCTACATTAGCTTAACGGATTT